AAATTTGAATTTTAAAAATAAAAAAATAAATATTAAAATAATTTTTTCTCTAATAAAAAGCGTATTTAGTGTGAATTGTGAGAGTTTTTATTTTTTGAATACTGTTACGAGTGATAAATTTAAATTTTTATCGGAGGAAAAATAGAGTTTTAAATTTTAGAAATGTGAAAAAGTAAGTGAGAAGTAAGTAAAAAGAGAGTTTATGAAAAATTTGAATTTGAAACTTTTGAACTTTTACTGTTTAAGAGCTTTTTGAGGTTAAAAAAATATCTACAAGTGTAAGTTTTTAATAAGAAAATTTAAATTCATGAAATATGAATAGTATCCAGAAGTTTGAAACTCCTAAAACCACACCAAACAAGCTCAAAATCAGATATAACTTAATTTTAAATTAATTAAAATTTAATATAATTTTTTTATACTAAACAATTAATATCAAAAAATTAGTTCATTGAAAGCCACGCGCTGATAATGCAAGTACTGACTGATGGGAACTTGGGAGGTACCCGTCAATTGCAGTACAAAACACTAACTCCCCCCCCTCTCCCTCCCCCACACCTTGTGTCCAAAAAAACCCACGGTTTCACTTTGCCTTACAATCTTTCCCTTCACTCCAAAAACTCCCCCTCATTATGATGTCGCCATTTCACTTTTTTTTTTTTTAAATAAGTAAGTTTCAAATTTGAATTTTAAAAATAAAAAAATAAATATTAAAAATATTTTTCTTTTATGAGATCATATCTAAGATTTGATTTTAGATTATTTGAATTATTTGAGATTTAATGTGATTATTAAATATTAAAAAATTAATATAAAAAATCAATAATTTAAATAGTTTAATTATAATTTTTTATTAAAAATAAAAAATTTTAAATTTAAATTTTGTAAATGAAAAAATAAGCGTTGAAATGATTTTTTCATAATGAAATTTGATACTATTCGATTTTAAATTAATCAAAATTTAATATGATTATTAAATATTAAAAAATTAATAAAAAAATATT